ACGGTGACGATGATTCCCAGAACTGTATATTCCTCGACTTCTTCCCCAGCTAACGAGACGATGGACTTTGGCACATCTAGCGGTGGTGGTGTTGCTCGTGCTCTGAATGAAATCTTTCACACGATCATCCTTCAACCAGGCAACTATACACTCACTTTCTTCCTCATGAATGAAGTCTCAAACACCACATTTAATACTACGGTCAGTAGCATCAGTTCTGTTTATGTTATGTGATGACACCTTAATTATTTACAATCCATATAACTTATTATATTCGTGAGCTTCAAGTTAATACGTATACACATTCCAGACGGGTGTTCGAGTGCCGTTACCAAACAAATTTATTCCCATCAGGAATAATGGAAATTAGATTAGTTCATTTCAGACCCTCAAAAATACATGTATACATATAAAAGTACTTGCAAAAATACACTTACATAATTGGTTGAGTTAGGAGCAGTTCGATATTTGAGGTTCCACTGTATTTTATTGCATTGTATTTTAAGGTACACTGTATTTATTTTGAGTAGCATGATTCTTAACTTGATAATTAAAGATGAAGAAAAATTTACTATGATTATTTAAAAAATGTAAAATTTAGAGTTTAGACAGAATTGCAGTAAATAATTTTTTGTAGCCCACATTTGTGGAGGGTGTTCCAGAGTCGACACCCCAGCGGCCTGGTCCATGACCAGGCGTCTTATCAGTGCCATCTTATCGTAACTGCATACCTTAAGTATACCTGGAGAGGGCTTCGGGGGTCAACACCCCCGTGGCTCGGTCTGAGACTAGGTCTCATTGTGGATCAGGGTCTGATCAACCAGGCTGTTACTCCTGGCCACATGCAACCCAACGCATGAACCACAGCCCGGCTGGTCAGGTACTGACTTTAGGTGCCTGTCCAGTGCCTGCTTGAAGACAGCCAGCGGTCTATTGGTAATCCCCCTTATGTATGCTGGGAGGCAGTTGAACAGTCTTGGGCCCCTGACACTTATTGTGTTGTCTCTCACTGTACTCGTGGCACCCCTGCTTTTCATTGGGGGAGTGGTGCATCTACTGCCGAGTCAGCATACATAAGAGGAATTACCAATAGACCCCTGGCTGTCTTAAGGAGGGAGCTGGACAAGCGCCTAAGGTCCGTACCTGATCAGCCGGGCTGTAGCTCATATGTTGGTTTGCATGGGGCCAGCAGTAATGGCCTTGTTGATCAGGCTGTAATCCACCATGAGGCCTGGTCATGGATAAGGGTGCAGGGCATTGACCCTCGGAACACCCTCCAGGTATACTCCAGGTTCCTCCATTCTTACGTTCTAGTCAAAAATCTCTGCCTCATAATGGCATTACTGACAGTGCCATGACTCATTTGAATTCCTGTTTATGTACTGAGATGTTAATGGGATTGTTAATGTTAATATTTATAATTAATTAATTTATAATTAACCTTATTGCTACAGTACTCTTCATGAATGTACATATATTCTTGACTCTTACAAATGACTTTAAAAGTTCTTTTCAGAGAAGTGACCTTTATCTAGTGGCAATTTCTCCACCAGGTGTTAGTGGAGGATGGCCTAGCAAATGTTACCTTCGCCACAAGAATCCTGCTGAATGGTGTCATGTCTCCAGGCTTTGGTGATGATCAAAACATCTTCATGTACAACACCTCCATTTATTTGCTACCATCTGCATTGAAGGGCATGTATATTTTTAAAGACAGTACTGATGACTAGAAATAAATCTTCATTGGCTTGAGGCTCTGGAGATTTGAGCCTGGCATGGGCCAGTAGACCTATTGCAGTGTTACTTTTTCATGTTACAAAAAAGCAAACCTGAAATTCGCATTAAGAATGTGTGTATTAGAGAAAATTGAAATTGTGCCTTTCAGTTGGTGTGGCGTGCATGCACATGCACAAACACATGCATACACACGTATACACACACATGCATACACACGCATACACACACATGCATACACATGCATACACACATATGTAGCAACCAGTGGAAGAGGTGGGACCAGGAGCTTGGACTCGACCCCCTGCAACCTCAACTAGGTGAGTACATGCATACACACACATGCATACACACACACACACACACACACACACATGCATACACATGCATACACACACGCATACACCGAACTTGCACACGAAAATCACTCACTACGAAAGCAAAAGACTTGCGACGATGCCCATCCCCCAATGAAAGCAGGGGTTGCTAGCAGTTTTAAAGGGTTTAATTACTCATTGTAATTAAATGGAATTTCTTAAAGATACATTGAGAAAGAATAAAAAGGCACAATACCGTTACCACTACATCAAATAAACGCACACAAGGAGACAAACTTGTGATGAAATTTTTGATCCAATTTGGACCATAAACTAGTCAAACTGTTAGTGGTTTAGTCAGACCCTAAACGTCACAGCAAGTTTCTTCTCCATAATGCGGATTATGTTTGATAACGTTGAATTTTGCTAGTAGTTTTATTAGATTTATACAGTATCTGCCAAGTAAATTTACTCAAATTTAATGAATACATTTTATTTTATATTGATGGCTTCCCAGCCTGGAATACCACAAACTTAACTTAATAATTTCTCAAAGTACATATACCCAGAGGCGTCCGCTAGAGTTGGTGTCCCCGGACGGAATCTCTAGTGTCCAACCTGGGCAGCATCATTGGTTGTCATACCCCCATGAAATTCAAGGGTGGGAGTATGAGGGGGGGTAAACTTCAGTTATGTCACTACTGCATGATCAGTGACTAATGTTTAACAATGTGAACGTTTAAGGGCCATAAACTGAACAGGAGAATACTTCCACTTTAATTAATTGATAAAATAATAACTTAGTAATAATGAGGAAACATAAACTCAAATACCACTTGAAGTAATAGCCAACAGATCCTACATTTTTTCATCCTCAACAATACAAAAACAAAAATAAAAAAAAAAACTTGAAAAATAATGAAAAACATTGCAATATCAGAGAAAACACACTAGTCCGATTTGACCTCGAGTACAGGTAACATCTAGTAAATCTGATCTTACATTCCTTGCCTTCAGTTATGCAAAATCATCTGTCACATCTCAAAATCAATGATTTTTCCCTATACATGTATAGGCCGTATTTGTACTTTGTTATATAAAATAGGCTATATAGAAATGACGATTCTTCTCTATGTTGGTGCAAGCCTGTTTTGGGGCATTAGTGTCTACCTTCTTTAAGCTCGATGGTGTCACCCCCTAAAGGTGTAACCTGGGGTGCCCCCTCCCCCTTCTGAACACCTCTGCATATACCACATTTTCCGCATATAAGCTCGCACTTTTTTCCACAAAAAGTCTTGGAAAATTCATCCTGCCCCTTGTATGGTCAAGGTCAGGTTAGGTAAGCTTAGGGTACACTTTAGCAGTTGTTTACTAATGTTTACATTACATCGCTTAAAAACATCATTGTGTATGCCAAAAAATAAGTATGTAGGAACTTTTGTGAGAAAGTCATATTACACATCTGTCTGTGCTTCTAGCCACTAACATATACGAATCAGCTGCACTAGTGGGTGTATGTACAGTTTGGTTGACAGATGTTGGGGCATTTGAAGCCTGTGTATGTATACATGGCTTTGCTTGCCACTCATCTAGCTGAACGGATAGAAGCTCAAGTTATACATCAAGCGGAAGGGCCACTATCTTTTCTCCTCCTCGTATTATCTACTCAACATCTAGTTCCTATATCTTTCTGTCCTTCCTAAAATCGGCCTTTCCCTCCCCTCCTTACCATAGATTCTTTGGTCAGTAATTGTTGTATCTTAACTCCTCAAATAAGTTATAATGAAAGAATAAGCAAATAAATTAATGAATCATTGAGTCTCTGATTCATGTATTCTTAAGAGTAAAATTAGAATTTGTTCAATGTAAATTATTTTAGCAATTTTTTAAAAGTACAGTAGGTGCATTAATTCACATATGTATGTAGCTTACTTTACAAAAAAAATGAAATACTGATATTACAAAGCTAAACCCTGAAGATGGGAACACTGAGCTTAACTTCCACCACTGTGACATCAGATTTGTGGTTTTCTGATAACTTGCTGTTGGGGTGTGAGCAAGTACATGAAATGGAGGGATTCCAGGAAACCTGGTTAACTGGGTGGGAAGTAACAGTGCTCACACTGCTGAAGATGGGTGTGTATGTTGCAATTCAGAAGGCATTTTTGCAGATGGTATTAAATAATGATAGTGAAGCAATGTTCTCTTTGGTCATCTATCATTGTGGAAAATGGCTAATATGGTAAAAAAAAAAACTGAGCGATTTGTTTAACTTCTTTAAGCCCTATAGGATGAACTAGCTGTTTTTCATGTGAACATTTTTAATTTGTCCAGTGGTTTAAGCAGTGTTTTCATAAACAATCTGTAATAATGGTATTACTTAGCAAAGCTGTAGCAAAAAAAATTTTTTTTCAATGAACTGGCCATACCCACCAAGCAGGGTCAACTAAAAAGAAAAACAAAAGTGGTTCGTTTTAAATTTAGTAGTTTATATGCTTTTAGTATTAATTTATACTATAAAGGGGGATATTGCAATTTGGAGGGACATCTAAACTGTGGTATCTGAGCGCCGCAGCAAAGGCAGTGATTAGTGTTTGTGATGGTGAAATGTTGTATGATGAATGAAAGTTTCTACTGTCTTTTTTGGGTTTATCTAACTTTTGGGCACCCTGCCTTGTGGAAATGACCTGACGTGTTAAAAAAAAATTATACAGGAGAAAGGGTACTACCCATTACGCCCAGTATTTTAGTCCCACTCTTATGATATGTAAAACTTTGCCTGATGGACGATTGTCACACCTTGCATCATTAAGAACTGGAAAGTGATCAAATTAATGAATTCAGGAAGCCAACCCCTCAGTAAATGTTTCCAGATATCTCAAAGTATTTTTATTCCACAGTGGTATATAACTAACCAGGCTGGAAAAAATACCCTGTATTTGCTCACTGGAAATAAAGATAATATTTGCATTAATACTCATTGCAATTGTGATTAGGTGTAGAAGTGTGAATGGTTACATTACCTCTGTAACTTTTCACTAATCAAAACTTTGGGGCCACAGTGATTGGGCCTATTATTTTTTTTTATTATTATCACACTTGGCCGATTCCCACCAACAAGGTGGCCCGAAAAAGAAAAACTTTCACCATCATTCACATCCATCACTGACCTTGCCAGAAGGTGCTTTACACTACAGTTTTTTTTAAACTGCAAAGAAAACATTAACACCCCTCCTTCAGAGTGCAGGCACTGGGCACTGCAATGGATAAGGGAATACCTGACAGGGAGGCAGCAACGAGTCATGGTACGGAATAGGTATCACAGTGGGCGCCTGTTACGAGCGGGGTTTTCCACAGGGGTCATTCTAGGACCAGGTGCAATTTTTGATATATGTGCACGACATGATGGCAGGGAATATACACTGAGTGTCCCTGTTCGCAGATGAGTGAAGTTGAAGAGAAGAAATTAAATCGGACGAGGATGAGCAGGACTGCAAAGAGACCCTGACATGTGGGTCCAGAACTGGCTTCTCGAATTTCAATCCAGCCAAACTGCAAAGTCATGAAGATTGGGGGGGAGGGGCAAAGCGACGCAGACAGAGAATCGGCTCAGGGGACAAAGACTACAGAACCTCACTCAGGAGAAAGACCATGGGGTGACCATAACACCGAGCACATCACCCGGAGGCACAAATCAACCACAATAACTGCTGCAGCAATACGGGCGCCTTGCAAACTAGAATAGCTTCCGATGACCTAATTAGGAATCGTCAAGACCACGGTAGACACTGTGTATTTAGGCCCCTACTGGTGAATGGCAGCACCATTCTGAACCCACACCTGGTGAAGCATGTCACGAAGTTAGAGAAAGTACAAAGGTTTGCAACAGGCTAGTCCCAGAGCCAAAGGGAATGTCGTACGAGGAAAGTTAAGGGAAATCGACTGATGCACTGGAAGGACAGAAGGGTCTGTGGAGACTAGATAACGACAAAACAAATAACTGCAGGGAATAGACAGGTGGACAGAGATAGGATGTTACCAGAGAGGGACACAGGGACAAGGGTCACAACTGGAAGCTGAAGACTCAGACGAGTCACAGGGACATTAGGAAGACAGTGGACGCCCCGCATAACGATCACCTCCAAATGCGACCATTATTAAGTGTATTTATGTGAAGTGCGGTTTCTACGTGTATGTTTCGGTTCTGAAATGGGCTAATCTACTTACAATATTCTTATGGGAAAAAATCGGTCGATCCTTGTACCTGAATGAACATACTACTGGAATGAAAAAAGTTCGTTATCCGGGGTCCACTGTATTTCATCAGTCATGAGTAGCACCATGTGGAATAGCCTAGCAAGTGAAGTAGTGGAGCAGGAACCTTACAAGTTTTAAGAGAGGTATGACAAAGCTCAGGAAGCAGAGAGAGAGAGGACCCAGTAGCGATCAGTGAAGAGGAGCTGAGTCTCGACCCCTGCAACCACAATTAGGTGAGTACAATTAGGTGAGTACATGCATAACACACATACACACCATAACACAGAGGACGCATACACACATGCATACACACACACGCATACACACACATGCATACACATGCATACACACACACATACACACATGCATACACACACATACACACACATGCATACACACATGCATACACACACACGCACATGCGCACACACACACACACACAAACACCCACACACACACACACACACACACCCACACACCACATAACACACACACACACACATATGTGAATGACATGATGGAAGGATTAGACTCAGAAGTGTCCCTGTTTGCAGATGATGTGAAGTTAATGAGGAGAATTAAATCAGATGAGGATCAGATAGGACTCAAAGAGACCCTGGACAGGCCTGGGCACCTGGTCACTGCAACTGGCTTCTCGAATTAACCCTGCCAAAGCAAAGTCATGAAGATTGGGTATGGGCAAAGAAGACCGCAGACGGAT